ATGCGTACCATGCGCTTCTCTGGGGTCGGGTCGTCGTATCTGGGCCATATACTCCATCAGGAGTCCCCCACTCCTTTTGCCGAGAGCTTCTCGAGGGAAAGACGATCCCCTCGGCCATATATCGCTCAGTCATCTTTATTTGATGACGAGAAGCTCGTTTATAGGCCCCTCGGCCATATACCGCTCCGTCATCTTTATTTGATGACGAGGAGCTCATATATAGGCCCCTCGGCCACATATCACCCTGTCATCTTTATTTGATGACGAGGAACTCATCTATAGGCCTCTTAGCCATATTTCGCTCTGTCATCTTTATTTGATGACGTGAAGCTCATTTGTAGGCCCATCGGCCATATATCGCTCCGTCATCTTTATTTGATTACGAGAAGCTCATCTACGGTCCCATCGGCCGCATATCACCCTGTCATCTTTATTTGATGACATGGAACTATCATATAGGCCCCTCGGCCATACATCGCCCCGTCATCTTTATTTGATGACGTGGAGCTTTCATACAGGCCCTTCGGCCAAATATCGCCCCATCGTCTTTATTTGATGACGTGGAGCTCTCATGTAGGCCTTTCGGCCATATATCACCCCATCATCTTTATTTGATGACGTAAAGCTCATTTAGAAGCCCATCGGCCATACCTCGCTTCGTCATCTTTATTTGATGACGAGAGACTCATCTATAGGCCCCTCGGCCATATCTTGCTCTGTCATCTTTATTTGATGACAAAGAGATCTCATATGTGGAGCTCTCGTACAGGCCTTTCGGCCACTAGCCTCCCAGTCATCTTTATTTGATGACGTGGAGCTCATGTCGGCCCATTGGCCTTATATTCTGGTCATCTTTATTTGATGAACCAGACATCATATTATGGACGGTCGCTCGACACATCCCTTAGTCATCTTTATTTGATGACTAGGACTACTGATCATGACGAGCTACCCACATCTAGAGATCGGCCTCGGCCATCCCCTCAGCAGACGGACACCGCTACAGCTCCATCTCTAGGCCGAAGGGCTCACACCTTTTGTTTCGTTTTGGGGGCATCCGGTGTACTCTTTTTCCCTCATTAGGATTTTTCCCACAGTTTTTTTCCTAATGAGGTTTTTAACGAGGCATCTCCCCATTGTGGACCAAAAGGTGCCAACCCTCGGCCCCCTGTTGAAGACATCATCCGACATGCATTACTCTACTCCTCTTCACCTCATTACACTCGCCTTAAGGAGTGGGGGACTGGAAGAGCGGGGGACTTAGCGCATCCGCAATCGAAAAAAGCACAAATTCAAATTTTTCGCAAGGTTCATCATATGCACTGACGACATCATCATATCACATACATATTCAGCTGCCACATCAGCCAGTACACATACATATCTCCCTGCCAATGATGTCGGGTCATCGGCTTGGGAATTCGGGTGAGGCACTTCGGCGACGACAACAGTTTACTCACCGGACGACGACAGATCAACACACAGTTCTACTCTCTTTCACCCTGAGTAGTCTCGACACAGAGTGCCCCCCCCCGATAGATATAGACTTGGACCCTCGGGTCTCACGACTATTGGGCCCAGACAGCGGCCCACATACGCTCAGTAGATAGCATTTATCTCATTGTACACTCTATTTTATTCATGTATATCCATTAGAATAGATTAAATACCATTTATTAGCCATTTATTGGCCTTTTATTGTAACTGGGCCTTCCAGACCCAAGCTTGGAAGCCCAACCCTCTTTTCTTCTATAAATACTCCCTATGGGAGCCATGTAAAGGGTGGAAAAATGTTGGAAGTTGGAAATTCATTTATACATATCACTTAATCTCTCTAGCTCTCCCTTCTCTCTGGACAAATAATCTATCACATACATAAATAAATTAGCATAATATCAAATCGTTTGGATCAAATGATCAATTACTCTTATTTTAGTTAACAACTCAAATAGGACTAATACCAAAGTTAATTGCACATTTAGGACCACAAACAAAACACAACTTTCATAGGACCAATTCCAGTAAAGTTGGACAAAACTACCCCTCTTTTAATTTTAAAAATTTTAAAAATGTCAAATAAAAAATTATTGAAATCCTAGCAGTAGCACTGTCGCCGCCGAAGCCAAACCATTGCCTGCTGCTCCATACCGGCGCTGCCTGCCACCGCCCTTGCCGGTGACGGCACCACCTGTCGCCATCGCCTGCCGCCACATCCTTGCCGGTGTTCGTCTCCATCCATCGCCGCCCCCTGCCCCTCTGCTTCCCATCCACCGGCGTCTCCATCCATCATCGCCGCCACCACCTCTCACCGGCGTCACCATCCATGCCATCACCATCTGACCAGAGTCGCCATCCACCGCCGCCACCATCCTCTGAGCACCATCACCACTGTGACAACTCAGGCGGATACATCTACCATTAAGTTGGCAGATTTATTGTTGGACATTAGATTCACATTTGCCATGAACAAGAGTTTCAGATCTGCCAAAGAGTTGGCATATTCATCTTGAAATATTAACATAAAACTGCCATAAATTTGGGAAAAATAGAAAAACATGAAATAGATAACCAAATACTCAACAACTAATTTTTTAATCGAATAAGCATTTTAACACAATCGAAAATTAGAAAAATGAAGCTATTGACAAAAAATCAGAAAAAACAATTTATACAAAAGCATTTCTGCCATAATATGGTTGTGAATGTACACATTTCTGTCATAATAAACTTGGCCAAATCTGAAGGAATCATCCAAAAATTATGAAAATCATTTTTTTAAACTCTAAAATTAAAAACCAGAAAATCGAAATAGAAGTCTGGAAAACTGGAAAAATCAATTCAAAATCCAGAAAAATGGATGAAAATCGAAAAGAAGAAGAATAAGAAGAAAAGAAAGAGGAAGAAGAAGGATGGCGGAGAACCTTAGGGGCAGCGGCATGCGGAGGAATCGGCTGCAACGGCGGCGTGAGAGAGAAATCGATCGATCTTGTGCGCAGGGTGAGGTTTGGCGGCGGCGATGATTAGGGGTGGGCAAAATACCGAAAAATCGGTATACCACACTTACCGTACCAAAACATACCGGAAAATACCGGAATATTGGTATGCCGTCATTTTCGGTATGGTATCATACCATACTGATTTATTTCGGTACGGTAACGGTAAATGTTTTCAAATACCGCAGTATACCGTATATCGGTATAATACCGTACCGACTCCCTATCCAACAATTACTTTTAATTCTAAAATATTTTAAAAATTCATTACAATTTTGGGAAGCCCAAAATTAATAATTAGGTTGGTTACAAGTAACAAAATACAAAAATAAAGGCCAAATTTCCCAAACCCACTATAACCTTCTAGGCTTCTACTACATAACATTCAAACAAAGTAACAATAACGACTAATGAGTAATGCACTAATGTCCAGAAAGATGTTCGTCTTGTTCCAAGAGCTTGCGAGTCATGATGGCTGAGCCGCTGAGTAGCTGACAAGTGAATAGGGATACACTTATGTGACAAGAGTATCTACACAGGGATTCCGCGAGTCGAGAAACACAACTTTGTCTGAAAGTCTTAATCAAATACAAAGTATTTTTTTAATATTGTTCAAGTTCTTTTAGGAGAATGTATTCTTTTTTAATACGTGGCATGTTGAACTGCTTAAATATGCTAATAAAAATTATTGTTCAATATTGAATTGACATCAATAGATTATTAATTGTATTTTGTAACATTTTAATAATATATTAAATATGTCACTAGTAACAACGATTTAGTATATTTCGTTAGTCCATTATAATTTCTCGTATTGGGAGACATGCATGATAATTACCGATACTGTACCGTTAGCGAACCGAAACTTCGGTATACTGAAATGCGGTATACCAAAACTTCGGTAAGGTAACATGAGGGAGTATATGGCCCAGGGAACCCCGGCCCACAGACTCCTACTACTCTAGCACAGGCCCATATGAGGCCCAAAGCACCGCGGCCCAAGCTCAAAGGAGCCCACGGTGTGAGAACAACTGAATTTAGGCATACAAAGCTGCTGGGAGAAGACGGCGAAAACAGTAGCCTTCGGCTTATAGGAGCCCTCGGCATAAGGGTAGCCTTCGGCTACACAGAGCCCTCGGCCACAGGGGGAGCCTTCAGCTGTGGGCTCAATCATCGAAGATTCCCTTTGGAGACAAGCAACCACCGCATTTAATGCGGCGTCACGTCCAACCACCGCATTTAATGCGGTGCACATGCAAGTGTCAGTGCCACCCCGATTGAGGTGACCCCTCGGCCGTTAGATTGTTGGCACATGTACTCTCATCGCATTTATGGCTGCTATAAATAGCAGCCCTTATTCCTCTTGTAAGGGATCGCACATCGAGCTCATTTAATACACTCGACTCTCTCTCTTACTTGTTTGCTCTGACTTCTCTCTAGGTTATTCCTCGAATAACCCATCAGATAAGCTACCCCCGGGTACACTGTCCATCATAACAGTATATAAATTTTGTATACCGAAAGTTTCGGTACGATGAGAGTATGAGAGAAAATATTTGGTATCCCTTACCGAACCACCCCTAGCGGTGATGGCTAGGGTGAAGTCGGTCGATGATGCACAGTGAAGGAAGAGATGCAGATGTGTGCGCAAGAGCGAATGATGAGGCAGTTGTACGCATGGGAGAGGAGAGATGAGCGTAAAAGGGATAAGGGGGTAATAATGGAATGAAAAATACCAATGTTTTCAAACAGGAGTAAAATAGTCCTATTTAGGAAAAAAATCATTCATGGTCCTATTTGAGAATTTCTCTATCTTGTAGTTGGGAAAATTACTCTTATTCTTAAACCGACCAAATCGGACATAATCAGGCCAAACTCCCTCCGTCCCATTTATATTGTCCCGTTTTACTTTTTCGGGAAGTCCCACTTAAATTGTCTCATACTATATTTGACAAAGTTTGTGCGGCTCTAAACCAGACAACCCCACTTTTCCTAACAACCGTGTAGCTAAATAGGACGGTAGTATAAAACACAGCTTAAACCCTAACTTAAACCCCGAACTCACAAGCAGGTCCCAGACAGAGCGCGCGAGGGGTATGGAGATTGACAGAGCTGATGGCCGAACGGCGAACCAGCTCAGACAGCTGGCTTGCTCCCGTGGCGTCCTCAACCGCGCCCATGGCTCCGCCAGTTGGTCCCAAGGTATAGTCCTCCACTTCTAAGATTAATTCTACCTAACCCGCTATGATTTCTATGTATTGGTAAATGGCCATTGTCGATTTGGAATGCCTTAGGAGAGACGCAAGTTCTGGCTGCAGTGTATGGGCCCAAGGCGGGGACAAAAAAGAACGAAAACCCAGAAAAGGCGTGCATCGAAGTCATCTGGAAACCGAAAACAGGGCAGATAGGTGGGCATACTGAAACTCTCAAACGCCTTTTTTGTTGTTGTTTCAATGCAGTTTTTGACCGTCAGATTTACTAGCTCCAGCTGTCCATCACAATTTTCAGGTAAAAAGGAATAGTGTAGGAAAAAGTGAAAAATTTGTTTGAGGGTGAATGGTCTAGAAGAAGTGGGATGTAAACGAGCTTATTATAGGAAACATAGGAAAGAGAAATGAAAAAGTTAAGATAGTTTTTTAAAGTAAAGATAGTTATGTCTTTTGATGGGATGATAACTATCAAAACAGATTTTCTAGCAAGTAAATATGAACTTCTACAAAAAGCGAATGAATCATAATGGCCGTATGACTTAGTATTACGGAGTAGTTAATAAAGGTGTATATACATTCTAAGCGTACACTGGAAATTTGCGTTCATGTTGATATTTCTATTTGTAATACATAGGTGCAAGTATTTTTGTCCTATAGTTAAGCGTTGAATAAGACATGTTCATATATAGGGAAACAGGAAAAAGAGAATGAGATGATAGTGAAGAGGACAGTGCAGAGCATTTGCCTTTTGAATGTTCATCCAAATACTACAACATCAGTTATAATTCAGGTGAGCTCTTATATAACCGAAGTGGAAGTCAATGCCATTTGCACTTTAGTTTCCCCATGCTGGTATTATTGATGAATGATGATTTTTGAAGATCATATGATTTTTGCTGTATGTTCTACTACCTTAATTATGCACGCCAGAGAAGGAGAGAAGAAATCTCATTTTTTGTTATGTCTGCCATATGCTTATGACAATGTTTGTTCCAATTCCCACTTTATCTTTGGATTCTGATGCAGGTTGTCAATGATGATGGAGCAGTATCCTTAGTGATCAAAGCATTCTACTGGAATTTCATGGCCCCTTTTTTTGTGCTATAAGTCATTCTACTGGAGTTTCATGGTTATTGAATTGAATAATCTGGAAAAATAGTTTCAGTAGCTTGTAAAGCAGAGGAACAACATAATGATTGATGTGCATAGCTGCAAAGCAGCACCATTCCAATAGCCACGAGTCTCTTGAAAAACCATGGGTGTAATCATACTTGCAGAGGAGCATCATTAGACTAAGTAAAGCCCATATAATAATAAGCACCAGCTGGAGTAGAAAAGTCAAGAACTTGAATTATTTATTACTCTGTATTTGCTATTATTATTGTTATCTTGTTTCTGCTGTTTCTGTCCCTGCTGCCGCTGCTGCTCTGTGTATATATCTACTACGTACTTATTTGGATTACTACATCTGATGAAAAGTGGAATATTGGACTGAAGTCCATTTAACAACTAAACAATCGTTTCACATCTATTTTCAATTTTTCATTTGTGACCTAAATTTAGAAGTACTTAAATATACAATGTTTGAAAAACTAGTATTTTTTCCCATATTTAGTTTATGCTGTCTAAAACTGGTTTGCCAAAACAGGATATGGACCTCCATTCGAAATCCTCTTTTGGTGCTAAATTCTACAATAGATTTTCAGAAGTTACATCAACTTGTAAAGCATAGGAAAAATAAAATGATTGAGTGCATAACTGTAGGGGAGCAACATTTGAATTGTTAGCTTGCTTGCATGTACGAATGCTCACATGGTTCCTGAATTAGCTTGTCTGGAATTAGTCTTGCTTTTAATAATATTTGAAGTCTGTATGGGTAAATTATATTTGATGGTATTTTTCAAATGAGATTGTTTGTCATAAGAAAACTTCCTTGATTGAGGTAATGTGAAAGCTTCTTTCGTGCGCAATTAATGCAGCGTGTGCTGCTCTTGTAGATGCAGGGATTCCTTTGAAGCACCTAGCTGGTATTCTTAATTTACTAACTTCATTATCTGATCAATTATTAGACTTGCAAAACTCATATCAGAGGGTATCTTAATGCATCATTATGGGATTTCATGTAGTTGCAATTTGTTGCTGCTTGACAGAGAGTAAGAATGTTCTACTTGATCCTAACACATCGGAAGAGAAGGTATAGATTCTGTTTTTTACTCCCTTTAATTTGACCTCCTTCTGGTGGTAGGTAGCCCTGTAATGTGACACAACAAATGCGGAACATATTTTCCCGAAACAATGTAAGACTCAACATGAGGGATTAATGTGAATGTTAAAAGAAAAAATTTGAGTTCGCACATAGCTTTGGGGTGCAACCTAAAAGTTTCCCATATTTAAAAAAGGGGGGGGTAGCGCATGTCTGCACAGTTCTATGTGTGTGTGTATACATACACACACATAAATATGTAATTATGTATGTAATTATGTATGTGTGTGTGTATTTTAATGTTACGAAATCATTCCCCAATGTTCTTTGATTATATGAAGTTTGTTGGTGTGCCTGCTGCCTAATAAAGTTCTGAAACACAGCCATTGGTAAAGAAACACACTTAGAAAAGGAAAAAGTGACAGTAATCCCACCTGAACGAAATCTCAAAGTAATGCCCCATTTGCACCCCATCGTCTTTCACTGGTCCCTAATCAGTTGATGGCCTGTTATTCTAGTATTATGTTTTTTTCTTTAGAAAATATTAAATAAATAATCTCACCTTTAACCAATCTTCTCAAAACGGTTCCATATATCATTTTTTTATCCTTAGAAATTTTCTTTCTTTATTTTGTAACAACTCAGACATTTTTTTTTCATCTTGTTATTTTTATTTATTTCTCCTGTTTATGTATTCCCTTTCAACCTTACCAGAATTTCCTCTCAACAGTTTTTCCTTTTTTCTTCTTCATCATTTTATTCTTTCCATTTTTATGTATTATTTGGTTTAATTCCCCTTTTATAAATGATTTTTTCTTGCCCTACTCATTATATTCTTTATTTTGTTTTTCATTTCAATTTTTTTTATTATTATCCTGTCTTCTTCTTTTCCTTCCCTTTTCACCATAGTAGAAGTCATTGTTTTTTCTTCCTTTTCGCCCCATCTTTTTTTTTTTCCTTTATGTTTTAATTTCCTCTTCCGCAGTTTTTATTAGAAAGAGTTATTCCCTTAGTTGATGGACTCATTTAGAAAGATACGTAGTATGATAATTCAGAAAAAGGAAAGAGATATGTTAAAGGTGAAATTAAGGTAAAAGGAAGAAAATTAAAGAAAAAGAACAAGTGGAAGTAAAAAGAAAATATAGCAAAATGTAGAGTGAAATAAACATTTTATAAAAAGGGAATTCATTTGAAGAGAAACACATAAAAGGAAAATGAACTACAAATATGGGAAGAAGAATAAAAAAGGGAAAAAAAACTGCCTGGGAGGAAATTTTACAAGAAAACTGTCCTAATAGAGTGGGAGATAGAATACATAAATATGGAAAATATATAAAAACAAGACACAAAAATGGAATCAAAAGGTGAGATTATTGTTATTAGGTTGTCCTTAAAAACTGGACCAAAACGTATCTAGATCTGTGGAAACAGCCCCAAAATGTTTTGCTTAAAAATGTTTGTGTAAAGTTTCAAAGAATTTCCTTTTCTGAGGCATAAAAATAAAGAAAGAAAGCTTCGAGGGAGAAAGCGAAAATGATATATGACTCTTTTTAGGAGCAAAAAAACCCAAAACAGCAAATCATCAACCAGGACTAATGAAAGAAATAGGGTATAAAGGTGGAATTATTTTGAGATTACGTTAAGGTGAGATTATTACGAGAAGACCGGTGAAAGGTGAGATTATTGCTCCAGTTTTTCCTTAAAAACTGGACCAAAATGTATCTAGATCTGTGGAAACAGCCTCAAAATGTTTTGCTTCAAAATGTTTGTGGAAAGTTTCTAAGAGTTTCCTTTTCTGAGACTGTCCAAGGCAGGTGGAAGCCCAAGGTGTAATATTTGGTAATGATGAAACTTTGACCTTATAGTACTGCTGCTACTAATGGGACTGTGTTTTCAAAATGGGCAGGAAATGAAGGCATCTGTATATCTAGTCTTCCCAAACTCCAGTCATTCAATTCTCCCCAAAGAAGAATCGTCACAGATGACGGGAGGTGGTGAACCGTTGGAATGTGGGATTATAACATCTGTAACGCATGGCACATTGAAAGGTATGTTTCGTTCACACACAGCCACTCTATTCTCTGCAAGCCTTTTCTACTTGAACAATATATGCTGCTTCCTGGATAAATCCGTGTTTGGTTTCTTATTTCCTTCAACTCAGTTGAGGATTACCTTCGGTGTTTGAAACGAGGGCGGGCTGCCAGCTCCAAGTTATCTGATTATTTGAGAAGAAGCTTCCAGCCAAACTGAACCTTCTAAAACCGGTCAGAGGCCGAGGGTGTCACCCAACCAATGATGGTGGCAAATGCAAATAATGGTTTCATTCATCATGTTAACCGCAAGGATTGACAGTAGAAGAAGATAAGACAGCGACCTTAACAGTAGTATACACCCATGAACTCTTTTAGAGCTGGAATTTGTTGTAATGTTTGAACCACTAATATGATTTTTTTATATAAATATTTCTAGTTAAATTACTCCATCTATCCCGGGTAAAAATTTCCTTTTCGATTTAAGAAGTTTGATTAGTCATAAAGTTTACTATTACAAAATCACAAAACAAACTCAAATTTGATAAAAGTTGATATGTAAAGTAAAAAATCAATCACAATTTAAGTTGATCGGATGAATAGTTAATGAGAATACTCTCTGAGTCTCTGATGAAGGTAGTATAAAACTAGCTTTCTAGTATGTGCAACTGTCGCTAACAACTAAATCTGAGTCGGTAACATCATTGCATCTTAAAAAGTAGGCTATTCGTATTAGGGATGGACCGGGCTTGGGTCGGGCTATGGGCGGGATCGGGTTTGGGAACTAGAGGCCCGGTACCGGCCCGGGTAGGTTACCGGACTAGTCATGAACCCGGGCCGGTTCCGGTTCCGGGCTGGGCCCGGCCGGGCTTTTTTTTGGGAAGGAAGGCCCGGGACCGGCCCAGGTAGCCACCGGGTCCGGGCCGGGCCGGGCCGGGCCTCCGGTTCGGTCATTTTTTTTTTTTTTGCTTTCCTAACCCCCCCCCCTCACCCCCCCAAACCCCCAAACCCCTCCTAACCATCAAGCCCAACCCGGCTAACCCCAAAAAATGAAAAAAAAAAATCAATTTGGCCCGGGCCCGGGCCTGACCCGGTCGGGCCGGTTCGCCAAATACAAGGCCCGAGCCCGGACCCGCCCCCCCACCGGGCCTAGGCCCGACCCGGACCCGATAACCGGGCCGGTTCCGGGCCGGTTCCGGGCCCGCACAGTGGCGGGCCGGGCCGGTCCCGGGCCGGGTCCATGACTGTACCGGACTGGGTTAGGTGTAGTTTTTTTATTTTTTATTTTCCTCGTTTGTTCCTACCCCCCCCACCCCCACCCCCAAACCACCCAGCAACCCGCCTACCCCCCAATCCATTCGAAAAAAACAAAAAAAAAAATATTATTGGCCCGGACCAGTTCCAAGAGGGTTTAAGCCCATGACCCGCCCCCAAACCCCCCGGTTCGGGCCCCGGTCTTGGTCTCGGTCAACCAGCCCGGTGCAGTACCGCATAGTGGTGGTTTGGGCCGGGCACCGAGCCAGTCCACCCCTAATGGTTAATTCATATAGAGCTATACAAAGAGAGAGGAGCGGTGATGGGGAAACTCTAGCCTCCTCCTCCTCCTAGGTCGGCCTTTGTACTTGGCCTTAACATCAATAAGAATTTTCAATAGTAGTTGGTTCTTCATAACATTCCAAATGATGCTAATGGACTGCCTTGAACAAGAAAACTGACCAGCAAGAACAGAAATTAAACCCCTACACAACTTCCCATTGATAGAAGAGACTAATAAATTCTTTGCAATTTGAGTTTTATCTTTTGCGTTTATTTTTTTGTGTTTATTGAGAACTGCGTTTATTGATGTTTTAATTTGAGTTGAAACTTAAAATATGTATTGATGTTTTCCCTCTTAAATTTGTGTTTCCCTCCACTTTTGTACTCCGTATTTCCCTCCCAATTGAGCTGAATTAATTAAAATGGGGGAGTTAACGGCCGCGTGCAGTAAAAAAAATCAACTCCCACTGCTTGATACTGCTCACATGTCCAGTCAGTGGGAACATAACTACCCCCATTTCGGTAGATTAACAGGGTCCAAAGAAGGCCAAAGGGTATAAAAGGGCTTTCATGTTTCATTAATTGATCTTCTTAAACTCCGTGCCAAAAGCAAACGGCAGCTTGTATCCGGGACGGAGAGAATACGTAGTATTAAAGAATAATTACACTTAAGATTATATAAATTAAACATGTATTTTACAACTAGTAGCTTTCTTCATATGTGTTTTTAAAATTAAAGGTACATATATCTCTTAGAATATGGCTTCTTGAGCAAAGTATGGTTTTGGAGAGAATGCCTTTGGAGAGAGCAAAGTGAAGGGCGCTCATTCGTGTGGACGATTGATGTCTTTTCTACATTTCCTATCTCTTTTCTTTTATCGTTTATCTTCTTTATCTTTTTATATTCGTATGTTATTTTTATCTTATAGCTTTTTTATGCTCATTTATCTTTCTGTCTTTTATCTTTTTTATATTCTTATGTTATTGTTATCTTATCTTTATTTTATCCGTTTTATCTTACTTGTTTTTTGCTCCTTGTTTGTCTCTCTGTTTGGAATTGATATCATGGATCGATTCATGTTAGACGACCCTAAATTCTTTTGGGATTAACGCTTGGATGTTGTTGTTGTGGTATATCTCTTAGAATACTAAAATGAAAAAAAAAGCAAAATAAAATGTTCGAGGAATCTAGATGCCTAGGCGGCCGATTAAGCGCTCTGGGCGCGCAAGTAGGCAACTAGGTGCCCTAGGCGGTCGACCGATACACCTAGTCGGAGCACCTAGACTAAAATCGGGGCTCCCGACCACCGCCTAGTGCCCAGGCAGGGATTAGCCGGGCGCCTAGAGCGATTTTTAGAATAGTGCTCTTGATACTTAATTATTAATTTCTCAATTATATAACTTCGTTACTTTGATTTTCGGTTTTAGTCAATTTATTGCTTGTTGATATTGGCCCAACCATTTCTATAAGTCCATTTACCTTTTCATTGGAACCGGCCCGTTGGTTGAGTGACGAACAAGGAAGGCTGAAGGAAGCAATCGATCGAGATGTCACTCAACCAACAGGCCGGTTCCAATGAAAAGGTAAATGGGCTTATAGAAATGGTTAGGCCAATACCAACACATTCTCCACCTTATTGGACCCTAGTGGTGTAGACTCAAAACTCTAATACATATTTGAGACTCATCATCGTTGGATTGCCTGAATGATCACAGAGACACATTACAGGCAAAAGGGGTAAGATCACCAGGCAACTTTTCCGCAATCAATGTTTAACGTGCGTTTGCACGACAACAGTTTTTCGACAGAGAGACATTTAGTCCCCATGTCTGCAGGATTAAACTCAGATGAAATTTTAATCAACTTGATATGACTTGCACTAATAATATCACATATAAAATGAATTCTAACATCAATATGCTTAGTTCTATCATGAGAAACAGAGTTTTTGCACAGTTGAATAGCAAATTGACTATCAGAAAACACGCAAATGTCCTATTTAAGACTATCAGTCTCCGTTAGGAGACGCTTAAGCCAAATGGCTTCCTTAAACGCTTCGGTAGCGGCCACATACTTTGACTCAGTAATGGAAAGGGCAACTATGAGTTGAAGTTGAGACTTCCAACTAATGCAAGACCCGCAAAGAGTAAACACATAAGAGGTAATGGATTTCTTATTGTCTCTATCGTTAGCAAAATTAGAGTCCACCTACCCACTCAACTTAATACCCCCATAACACCTAGTGAAAACCAACCCATGATTAACTGTTGATTTCAAGTATCTAAGCAACCACTTAAGAGTATTCCGATGGTCTAAACCGGGATTAGACATATACCTACTCAAGCAACTAATAACATATGCAATGTTGGGTCTAGTACTCACCATGAGATACATCACGGACCCAATAACATTGGAATAAGGCACATATTTCATTTTAGCAATTACAGGAGCAGTCTCCCGAGACCGATCCTTACTTATCACAAAGTGAGATGACATAGGGATAAATACATGAGTAGCATATCGAATGCATGTTATATTTACTCAAAATCTTTTCAATGTATGAAATCTGATTGAGTACTAACACATGCTTACTCCTATCCCTAACAATGTTAATGCGTAGGATCCTTTTGGCATCATCTAGGTCTTTCATTGCAAAGTTCTCACTGGGATGTTTTTGCACACATTTAATGGCGTCACCCGAAGGACTAACAATCAACATATCATCCACATATAGCAAAAAAAAAATACAGGCACAAAAGAAGTATTTTTAAAGTATAGGCAATGGTTGCATTCAGACTTATGGAATTTCAAAGATGACATGCATTGGTCAAACTTGATATTCCACTGCCTAAAGGACTGCTTCAGGCCGTACAAGGCCTTCCTAAGCAAACACGCATGATCACTCTTTATGGGATCCACAAAGCCCTCATGCTGGGACATATAGATTTTCTTGTCGAAATCACAATGCAAGAAAGCAGTGGTGACGTCCATTTGTTTCATTTCCCAATCATTGTGAGCAACAAAAGCAAACATCATTCTAATTGTAGTAAATTTAACAACAGGAGCAAAGATTTCAGCATAATCAACACCTTCCTTTTGAGTAAATCCCTTAGCTACAAGCCTAGCCTTATATCTAATGTCATTAGGTTCTTCCTTAACCTTAAATAGCCATTTACACGCAACAACAGAACTATTGGGCGGTCTAGGAACTAACGTGTCTTATTCGCTCTCAGTGACTCCATCTCACTTTCCATGGCGCAAAGCCATTTAGCGGACTCATTAGACTTAAGGGCCTCTTTATAAGTTCTAGGTTCATTAAACTCAAGGGTCTCAAACACAGAGAAAACAAACATAGAAGTATCACACATATGGAAAGCATAATCAGGAATACTATCCGCAGTTCTCCTAATTACTTTCCTACTTCTATCTCTAACAAGTTGATAACCATGCAAATCATTTTCACTAGAATCAGCATTCTCATCATGCGATTCATTTTCATTTGAATACACATGAGAATGCTCCACCTCACTCGAAGTGGTGGTATTATCATGCTCAGAAGAATCAGAATCATGCAATTCAGAAGAATCAGAATCATGCAAACAAAGGACTAACAACATATGGTATGGACTCCACCTCAATGGGTGTACTACTATGACTAGACTCAGAATCAGGAACTGACTTAACTAGACAAGGAAACTAAGATTCATTGAAAACAACGTTTCTACTTACCACAATTTTGAAACCTACCTGGTTTCTATCCTAAACCCTATACCCTTTCACACCCTCAGGATAACCTAAGAAGACTCCTTTCGTAGCCTTAGGATCCAATTTGTCACCTTGTTGGTGCATATACGCGGCACACCCAAACACTCTAAGATTAGACAAATCAAGGGGTTTGTTTGAAAAAAGAGACTTAGGGCACTTCCCACCCAAGGGAACAGAAGGAGATCGA